GGGTGAGGCGTTAAAAATGGCATGGCCAGGTAGTAAAGTCACTTCTTACCCTCAGCCCTGGGCTTTGGGATAGCAGGACACCTAAAACTCAGTGATGGGGGTGGGAGGGGTGGCACGACTGGTCAAATGCCTAACATAGGCGTGCTGGGCTCAAGCAATGATACTTGTTGATACTCTGGGCATACTCCTCCAGTCGTGAGTGTATTCCATACCACAACCCAAAAATGGGGATAGCAGAGGTAGGGGGAAGGGGGGCTTGGCTGCTCACCCCTTACACTTTTAACTCCTCACGTGGCCAATGCCCGCCCCTCATCCCCCCATTTTCTTCCTGTGGGATGGGACATTTACATTTTACATACATTTACATTTGTATGTGCTACAATTTCTAATTATATTTACCTCTGCCCATAAGAATACTGGTGATTAAATAACAATTGGGCAAAATGCTCTGGATAGGAGCACTATCAAAGGATAGATAGATATATAGATACAGGCCCGGACTAGCCATCGGGCATACCGGGCAAATGTCCGGTGGGCCGTGATGGCCATGGGCCAAGGCCGGCAGGGGAGGTCACGGGATCTCTCCTGTCGGCCCATGCAGAGCCGGCACTATCCAAGCGCCGACCCTGCTGTGTGCCTTCATGGGGAGGGAGAGGAGGACCCGGGGGAGTTTTCTGAATGGTTCGTCTTGCGAGGTCTGAGCGTTGCTGCGCTTCACTCACCACTAAAGGTAAGGGGGATATAAAGTTTTTTTATTTTAAAGATAATAAATTTTTTATATATTTAAATCTGTCCCCCCCCCCCCACACACACAAACAATCCCTCCAAACATATTCACACACATCACCCTCACACACGCTGCACCCTTCACACATACACACAGCACATCCAAGACACTGAGCCCCTCACAAATACAATACTTCCAAACATATATATATATACATACACTACAGCACCCCTCACACTGCTCCAGATACACGCTAGATCTCTTACCCAACTCTGGACCATCTACACACACACATTAGATCCCTACATACACTCTGAATCCTTTACACACACACACACAATCTCCTATACACACTCTGGGTCCTTTACACACTATATCCCCCTACACAAACACACTGCACCACCTACACACTACATTCCTGACATACAAACTCTGGAACCCCCATGCACACACTGCATTCCTGACATACAAACTCTGGAACCCCCATGCACACACTACATTCCTTGTAAGTAAACAAACACACACTCTCTACAACCCCTACACACTACGTCACCTATATACACACACATACACACACGCTACATCCCCTATAAACACTATGCCTCCATACACACACTCTCTACAGCCCCTAGCCACACATTTTACACCACAAACACAAATGAAATTGACCTATTTACACAATACCACACCACAACCAGCTCACTCTACACAATACCACAAGCAGGCTCCAAAAACACGTTACGCTTTCCTGGCCCTTTTGTCTCCTGGTATCCCACTTATGGAGACACCAGAGACAAGTTAAAAGCAAACACAGCACAAGCATGTTTTTACATTTGCTTGTGCTGTGCAGGACAAATACGGGGCCTTTTTCTCATGCTAGAGCTCTTCAGCGGAGCTCTGCACATTGAACCAACATGCTCACTTTGAGAGGAGGCGTGCTTGTCATTAGTGATGACAAAACACACAAAAATGCTCAGGCCGAATTGTTTTCCCAGTCCGGCCCTGGATAGACAGATAGACAGATATATAGATAGATAGACAGACAGACAGACAGACAGATAGATATATAGACAGACAGACAGATAGATAGACAGACAGACAGATAGATAGACAGATAGAGATAGATAGACAGACAGACAGATAGATAGAAAGACAGACATAGATAGATAGAGAGATAGATATATAGATAGACAGATAGATAGATGACAGATAGATAGATGACAGATAGATAGATATATAGATAGACAGACACAGATAGATCGACAGATAGATAGATAGATAGATGACGTATAGATAGATAGATAGATAGATAGATAAGTCTTCAGGTAGAGGTCTATCCCAACTATCCTTACAGATTCTATCTTTGTTTAATACAATCCCCACATTTCTCTGTTTATGCCAATATATGCCAAACACCACACCAGGTCCAGCACGTGGCTCACAGACACAGAGCCCATTTTTTGTTTTACCCAGAAATCTACTAAAAAAATCTACATTTTAATGGAACATTTATTACATAAATAAAGCAAATTCACCATCTGACATGTTTTCGTGCTACAGGCACAGAGTGACGCAGGAGTTCAAAGCAGAACCCGGAACACGTGACTTGGAGAGAGAGAGCTTTTTTGTCACGTGTTGATGTGTTTGATTGAACCTGCCGTCCAACCAGTTCAGTGATGGAGCCTGAGAGAAGGGATCCCAGGAGGTGAGGAAATGGAAAAATTCTCATAGTTCCACCGAGTACAACTTAAAGGACCACTCTAGGCACCCAGACCACTTCAGCTTAATGAAGTGGTCTGGATGCCAGGTCCTTCTAGGGTTAACCCATTTTTTTTTATAAACATAGCAGTTTCAGAGAAACTGCTATGTTTATCAATGGGTTAAGCCTTCCTCCAAATCCTCTAGTGGCTGTCTCATTGACAGTTTTTACCCCTTTCCCCCTTCCAGAGCCGGACGGGAGGGGGACCCTGAGGGCGGGGGCACCCTAAGGGCACTATAGTGCCAGGAAAACGAGTATGTTTTCCTGGCACTATAGTGGTCCTTTAAAGGACCACTATAAGCACCCAGACCACTTCAGCTTAATGAAGCGGTCTGGGTGCCAGGTTCATCTAGGATTAACCCTGCCTGCTGTAAACATAGCAGTTTCAGAGAAACTGCTATGTATACACTAGGGTTAATTCAGCCTCTAGTGGCTGTCTCATTGACAGCCGCTAGAGGCGTTTCCGCGCTTCTCACTGTGAAAATTGAGAATGCTTTCCTATGGACTGGCTGAATGTGCACGCGGCTCATGCCACGCATGCGCATTCAGCCGATGATGGAAAGGAGGAGGAGAGTTCCCCCAAGGGAGCCCAGCGCTGGAGAAAAGGTAAGGGATTAACCCCTTCCTCACCCTAGAGCTCGGCGGGAGTGGGACCCTGAGGGTGAGGGGAACCCAAGGACCCTCTAGAGCCAGGAAAACGAGTATGTTTTCCTGGCACTATAGTGGTCCTTTAAGAACTTTTTTTTTTTAAGTATATTTAAGTAGTCGCACATAGTATTTATCAGACAGTATTTCTTCCATGTTATATTTTCTGAGAGTGTTTTTATTATTCGCTCTGTTATTATTGTTGGCAGATAATGAACAAATATGAAAAAACAAACAACAAAACAAACTATTGTTACACTCCATGAAGTTAATTTTTTATGAATAAAGCATAGCTGCCAAGTGTCCCTATGTACTGTAAACATTTCCCATGGTGCTTATTTTACGTTTTGGCCAGCAGAGCCTTATCTGAGCATTATAATAAAATAAAATTAAAATATCAAGATAGACAGTCAGAGTTATTCAGTCACATGAGAATTTCAAGTAAATTTGAACAGGTCAGGTGAAAATCGCTGAACTCTGTCCTTACATTTGAAACTCACTTTGAATTCTCTTCAGTAAATAACCCTAAATGTATAAGAGAAACAACATGAAAATACAAAAATTAATACTTTTATTCTTTTTTTTTTTTATTCTACAACAACTTAAATTTGAAACATATGCGCAACGGATAACGCTCAACGCTCCATGTTGCATACCGAACGCTGTGAGACATTTAAATCTGTGTCCTTTTAACACGTACGTTTAGCGTGTGCTCTACTATGTGACGTGCCTGTTTATATGGCGAAATTGACCCTTTGACAAATCCACAGCAGCCCCTGACCCTGGCGCTCACATAGGCCCTAAAGGAAATCAATCTGGTATCAATAAAATTGCAATTGAAATCTGGTTTCAGCTGCAGTTAAAGGGCTAAGTCAGGGGATTTTTTTTGCAGCTTGCACAAGAGCAATAAATGAGAAAATATATGGCGAAGGTTGCACCATGCCTACTGCCTCTAATAACAGAGAACTGACTGCAACTGACAGCAGGACAATAAGCACGGATACACAGGGCAGAGCACTCACATTGTGTGCATCCCACTGGCTGTCTGCAAGCAGGGAACTATCCTTGGTGCTGACACAGACATAGGGATTTTCATGTAAGGCCTAACTGAAGTCACTTACAGAGAAGAGGAGCAGGGCCTGGCTAGGTGTGATGAAAAACAAGGCCTGGCTGAGTGTAATGAGCAGGGTCTGACTGAGTGTGATAAGAAGCAGTGTATTTTTCTGTGTGAAAAGGAGCATAGTCTGGGTGAGGAGGCGCAGGATACAGGTGAGTATCACTCACACATAACCAGGCTGAGTGAGAGTAAGATCTGATTAAGTGTAAATGAGCAGTGGCTGTCTGAGTGTGCTGTGAATCAGTGTCTGGCTGAGTGTGATAATGAGTAAGATAAAGGCAAATCAGTGTCACTCACACCAGGGCCTGCCAGAGTGTGATGGGAATCAAGACCTGTCTGAGTATGATGAGGGGCAGCGCCTGGCTTAGTGTGATGAAGAGAACAATCTAAATGTAATGATCAGGGTCTGGTGGAGTGTGATGGGATGCAGTGTCTGGCTGAGTGTGATGGCATGCAGCGTCTGGCTGAGTGGAATAATGAGCAGTGTCTGGCTGAATGTGTGCTGATGATATAGATGAGAGTCACTCACACCAGGGCTGGGCTGACTGCGATACAGATCAGACTGTTATACTAGTTCTGGCTGGATTGTTCTAGTAGTGAATATAGAGGTACCTGTCCTAAAGTAGGGTCTGGCTGAGCATGCTATGAATCAGGACCTGGCCGAGTGCGAGGGTGATCGCGGTCTGGCTGAGCATGCTATGAATCAGGACCCGGCTGAGTGAGAGGATGATCATGGTCTGGCTGAGCATGCTATGAATCAGGACCTGGCCGAGTGCAAGGGTGATCATGGTCTGGCTGAGCATGCTATGAATCAGGACCCGGCCAAGTGTGAGGATGATCGCGGTCTGGCTGAGCATGCTATTAATCAGGACCTGGTCGAGTGCGAGGATGAGGATGATCGCGGTCTGGCTGAGCATGCTATTAATCAGGACCTGGCTGAGTGCGAGGATGATCGCGGTCTGGCTGAGCATGCTATGAATCAGGACCTGGCCGAGTGCAAGGATGATCATGGTCTGGCTGAGCATGCTATGAATCAGGACCTGGCCGAGTGCAAGGATGATCGCGGTCTGGCTGAGCATGCTATGAATCAGGACCTGGCCGAGTGCGAGGATGATCGCGGTCTGGCTGAGCATGCTATGAATCAGGACCTGGCCGAGTGCGAGGATGATCGCGGTCTGGCTGAGCATGCTATTAATCAGGACCTGGCCGAGTGCGAGGATGATCGCGGTCTGGCTGAGCATGCTATGAATCAGGACCTGGCCGAGTGCAAGGATGATCATGGTCTGGCTGAGCATGCTATGAATCAGGACCCGGCCGAGTGCGAGGATGATCGCGGTCTGGCTGAGCATGCTATGAATCAGGACCTGGCCGAGTGCAAGGATGATCGCAGTCTGGCTGGGCATGCTATGAATCAGGACCCGGCCAAGTGCGAGGATGATCGCGGTCTGGCTGAGCATGCTATGAATCAGGACCTGGCCGAGTGCGAGGATGATCATGGTCTGGCTGAGCATGCTATGAATCAGGACCTGCCTGAGTGCGAGGATGATCATGGTCTGGCTGAGCATGCTATGAATCAGGACCTGGCCGAGTGCGAGGATGATCGTGGTCTGGCTGAGCATGCTATGAATCAGGACCTGGCCGAGTGCGAGGATGATCATGGTCTGGCTGAGCATGCTATGAATCAGGACCTGGCTGAGTGCGAGGATGATTGCGATTTGGTTGTGTGCTCGGTTTTATTTTGTATTTATGGAAGTGAACATGGTTTGTACTTGACAGTGAGGAGCAGGGGCCAGAGGGCTTGGAGAAAAATGAACAAGCATGATGAGAAGGATCAAGCCATAATTCTGGGTTTTATTGAGTTTTAGGTTTTGATATCTGGCCAAGGAAGAAGTTCAGGCTTTGTGTGAAGGGGGGTACAGAGGGACTGTGAATTTCTTTACCATCATCATCACAGGCCAAGCTTAGCGGTATGGAGACAATACAAAAAAACAAGTCTTTCAATAATTCAGTAAAGAAAAAAACAGCTATAAACACAAGTTAAAACCCAACGCAGGCTGGAGGGGAGGGGAGTGAGTGACGGCAACCACATGCTTAGCAGATGGAAAAAAACGGATAAAAGCTATGCAGCCAGGAAAATAAGGAGAAATCACAGGAATGGTCGAGTGGAGGACAAAACACCAAAGGATCGCCGCTCTGATCATCCCTCATATACTTATCTGCTTTATTGATGGAACCATCTAGGGTGATTCCAGCTTTGCCATCCTATATAACAATATCTATTCCCCGAATCAAACACGTTCAATAACTATCGCCGTCTGCGGGCAACCACATTGAACCGTTTATCCTGCTCATTACAAGATAAATTAAAATACGACCCCGAATATTCACAAAGTCAAAAGGAAACAAGCAAACACAACAAACCACACACACACACACGCACAACATTTCCACGACAAAATAAAAAAAAAAGCAGGAGATAATATTTAAAGGGGGTGGGAGGGCAACAAAGCCTTGCCTGAGTGAGACCGATGAAAAGAATTATGATTTGAATCACACCCCGGGACTTCATATAGATGTGCTTCATGTGACATAAATTATTAATAATAATACCGGGTCATAGCTCTGGGAGCACATGTGCAAAAAAAAGGGCGCAAATAAACCCGATACCAATGGAAACCGTTAGACAAGGGTTTCACGCCAAAATAAACAACCTAGGAAAATTCTCCAAGGCAGCTACATTTTCCACTATTCTAGCCTAGAATTTGAAACCTATTTTAAATTCGCATTGGATTCCTGACAATGTACACCTTAGTGAATAGCCTTATATCACTTGCCACTTTCCGACCAATAACCGTATCAGTGAGAATTCAAGGTGAATGTCAAATTTAGGGTAAATTCAGCTACATTGGCCTTAACTTTTAAATCACCTTTACATTCTCACCTTAGTGAATAACCCTGTGTAATTATTAACATACTTAATGAAAAACATCAAAACTTTATAGGTGAGCTGGGCCAATGTGACAGTATATAACAGACCTCCACAGCAATAATACTCCCAGTAATGTGTCTGAGTGTATAACAGAGCTCCACAGCAATAATACTCCCAGTAATGTGTCTGAGTGTATAACAGAGCTCTACTGCAATAATACTCCCAGTAATGTGTCTGAGTGTATAACAGAGCTCCACAGCAATAATGCTCCCAGTAATGTGTCTGGGTATATAACAGAGCTCCACATCAATAATACTCCCAGTAATGTGCCTGAGTGTATAACAGAGCTCCACAGCAATAATACTCCCAGTAATGTGTCTGAGTGTATAACAGAGCTCCACAGTAATAACACTCCCAGTAATGTGTCTGAGTGTATAACAGAGCCCCCACAGTAATAATACTCCCAGTAATGTGTCTGGGTGTATAACAGAGCTCCACAGCAATAATGCTCCCAGTAATGTGTCTGAGTATATAATAGAGCTCCACATCAATAATACTCCCAGTAATGTGTCTGAGTGTATAACAGAGCCCCCACAGTAATAATACTCCCAGTAATGTGTCTGAGTGTATAACAGAGCTCCACGGCAATAATGCTCCCAGTAATGTGTCTGAGTGTATAACAGAGCTCCACAGCAATAATACTCCCAGTAATGCTTCCCCATAGGATTGGCTGAGACTGACAAAGAGGCAGATCAAGGGCAGAGCCAGCATGATTCAAACACAGCCCTGGCCAATCAGTATCTCCTCATAGAGATACATTGAATCAATGAATCTCCATGAGGAAAGTTCAATGTCTGCATGCAGAGGGAGGAGATACGGAATGTTTGGATGCATTTTAGGCAGCCATGACCCAGGAAGGATCTCTAATAGCCATCTGAGGAGTGGCCAATGAAGTTATCACTAGGCTGTAATGTAAACACTGCATTTTCTCTGAAAAGACAGTGTTTACAGCAAAAAGCCTGAAGGGAATGATTCTACTCACCAGAACAAATTCAATAAGTTGTAGTTGTTCTGGTGACTATAGTGTCCCTTTAAATTTCAATAAAAGTGTTTAGAAATCAGTCAGTGGAAATAAGTTACAATGTTCTTCATCTAAACTACATATTAGTTCTATGAATTGTTATTAGTAAGTAAAATTTTTAGTTAGTAAAATGTCTCAGAACAGCCCCGCCCCCTGGCCACACCCCCACCATCACCCCTAAATTTAAAGTGTCCCTCCATGTGCAATGCTGGGAGACATGTCATTTCTGCTTCAGTGAAGAAATTCACTATTTTGGCTGTGTGTATAGAGATTTTCTGAATTTTAGGAGACAGGGCACTTTGTGAAATACGTGGGCTATAAACCACGATTGTTTCATTGTTCATTTTCTTGGAATCCAAAGGGTCAGGTTTGGGATGTGTGTGAGGTTGCGAGCAGATGCAGTGGGATGAGAATAGAGCAATGAGATGGGACTCTTTGGAATCGTGGGAGAGGATTGGTGGCGTGAAATATTGTGTAGAATTATAGGCGTGGGGTGATCAATCTGGAAGATGAATTCATATTAATGATTTACAGAGAGTGGGATGGAGCCGGATAATGACGTCAGATGGGTTTACTAAACGGTTAATAGTTGTGAACTAAAAACAGAATTGGAAAATACAGAGCAAAATTGTCCATCTGTGGCTATAGTGGAATGAAAGAATTTATTTGAACTAGAGAATTTGTTTACCCAAAACTTTTTTTAATTCACTACAGTTTGTGGTTTAATCTCCAGATAATTTTGGGAGAGGATTTACAGCAGCATGGAATATGGGGAAAACATGTCAAGGCTGAACAATTATGTAAACCGAATAGTTTAGGGCCCCCAGTGAGCTATAGGACCCACATCGCACATAAACAAAAGGGACTAGAGTAGCAGTGAAACAGAATTTATGTTAAAATAAACAGATATCCACACAGTTTGCGTAAAATAATATAATATCCATTGGGAGCTATGTAAACAGGGAAACTTGGAATTTCTATAAAAAAAAATAAGACAGGGCTTTTTGAATGACAACTTTATTACTGCTCGGCCACTTTACACTTCAGTATTACAGAATAGTTAGAGGCAGGATTTGAGTATCATGAAATGATCGACAATGTCTGGCTTAGAGGAGTTTGTCAGTAACAGTTAAATGAGAGCTGAAGTTAACGAGGATTCATTTATGAAAAATAAACTGGCTAAGAGTCATAGGAGTGATTTTCAGCGCTGCGAAATATGTTGGCACTATATAAATAATTGTGACCACTGAATGTAACCAAACCAGCACTAATGATACGGCCAGTGTAAATCTGGCTGAGGATGATGGGAGCGGGCAGCCTGCATGTGGAACGATCTAGCAGCTGACAAGCCAACCCAGCAGTAATAATACAGCCAGTGAAAAATCTGGCTGAGGATGATGGGAGCGGGCAGCCTGCATGTGGAACGATCTAGCAGCTGACAAGCAGTGTGTTAGCCAACCTAGCAGTAATGATACGGCCAGTGTAAATCTGGCTGAGGATGATGGGAGCGGGCAGCCTGCATGTGGAGCGATCTAGCAGCTGACAAGCAGTGTGTTAGCCAACCCAGCAGTAATAATACAGCCATTGTAAATCTGGCTGAGGATACTGGGAGCTAGCAGCCTGGATGTGGACCGATCTAGCCTTGCAGGGAAGGAGAGCTGATGAGAGGCTTGTTTTCTCTGGTTTAGAAGTCTGCAATCGTTGTGTGAGATGCAGCCCTGTGCTATGCACCACTTGCTGCAAGAACCGTGCTGATAAATGAACAAATCCCAACCTGGATGAGGGGAAAAGTGACATGAAACGAGCCAGTGTCAGCAGCTCATTCATCAAATGACATTTCCTCAGCCAGTATCCGCTCTGTGAGAACGAGAGAGAGTGAGAGGACGCCAGCGTCTGCTGTGACTTCTTCACAAGCGTCTTCATCACGCCAATGCCTGCTACACTTTCTTATTACTTTTTATTCCTGCGTTTTATTTTGTGGCTCCTTCTCCCGGCTAATAAAACACATGGCAGCCTAGAACCCAACGGACGCGTTACCATGAAACGTCAGTCGGACTGTTCCCACCGCTTCGTAATATACACTGCATTTTGCCGTGCTGTGCGTACAGTCAGTAATCTATGGCTGCAGGCTGATCTCCATATTATTAAAACAAACCAATACGCCAGACCACAAAAAAAATAAATTAAAAAAATTGATTTAGATATTTTGTTTTCCTCCTCTGTAAAATCCCAAATTGCATTTTTTATAATTATTTATTTTTCCCCGACAGATCCTGTTCCATTTCTACGCAGACGAGATGTTGATAAATATCTTATTCTGTGAGAGGGCCGTCGCTTGCCTTCTCCTGTCGGACCTTTCCTCGCCATTATCATTTACTCACAGATCCCATGTTCTGCCCGCTCTGAATTCCCAGGCCACGCGAGCCCATGATAAATTACAACATGTTTTCTGAAGCGCTCTAAGCTCGCTCTCCCTCATTTTAATTAATACACAGGGGGGCAAAACGTACTCTCACTGACACGCACGCTGACGCTTAAGGGAGGCAAACCTACACGAGGGGGCATGTGCCCGCACCCCCCCACCCCCCACACACACAGAGCCAGGCCCTGTTTACCCAGCTCAGCCAGTCCCTGCACCACAGATCAAGATGTATCTCAGTTTGTAAAGTCAATACATAGATATAGACCCGGGGCAGTAAGGGGGAGGTGGTGTGTGGGCGAGGAAGGTCCTGCACAACATTTAAACTCTGCTATTCCTCCAGGTCTTGCTAGGCCATTGTTGGCTTCATCGACATGTTAATTAGGATATTACCCACAATGCTCTGTAAATGTCATTACACACAATAAAAGTCAAT